GACATCTGTGTGGTTGTTCAGGATTACTTCAAAGTTTGTGCTGTTTTCTAGAATATAGTTATTTTCATCGGCTCTTCGACCGGGGTTCCATAGCAGCTCGCTCAGAGCTCATAGAAATACATGGTACAGTTGTGCGTGTCTTAGCAACGTGGAACGTCCGTGACGTAGCTCGGTTCTAAGGATACTGGATTATTAAAATATTAGTTCTTTTGGCCATATATACTGCTGTCATTGGGTGGTTGTTATCCACAGTTTTGACTGTGCTAAAATAACACAAATAATTTATTTTTATATTATTTTTTAGAATCACACAGGTTATGTTTGCACGGTGCTTGCAGAAGATTATGACGATGACTTTGGAGTTATCACTTACAGTTTTCGTGAAAATGCAGCCGATCCTTACGAGTCCTGGACACGCTTTACAATAAACGACAAAGACCCTGCAAATATTACTATAACGGAATATACTGATCGTGAGAGAATTGCTGAATACTCAGTAGGTGTTTTTTTGAAAGAACGAGTGAATTGTTGTATTGTTGACTGATGCCTAAATTAGGGTTGTACTTATTTGAATGATTTTCATGGCTTCTCATTTAAAATTTTAGAGATTTGCAAAAAAACAAAAAACAAACAGTTTTTGATTCTCGTTCTTGGGAAAACTAAAAAATGATGTAATATGCACGTAATTTTTTTTTCCAGATCTGAAAATCCTAAGTGGGTCTTTTTTTTCATGATTTTCATCCAAAACTACCTCTCCCAACACCATTGAGAGAACAACTGAGCTCGCTCAGAATAAATAATTAGCTTAGATTGTAATGCTAGGGTTTTTAATGATGTCATGACCTGGTGGTACGATGAGTCGTACCATTACCAATCTCAGTGGAAAATGTAGATGGGTGTCAGGGCTACATTTTGATGGGGATTATAGTGGTGATAATGAAACAAACCCACGTCCTGGTAATATACAAAGACCTGAATTAACAAAGAAGTCTAGTTGTTATTAAAGGTATATCAAGGTTTACTCAGATTTATGAATGCAGTTTCTTGCACATGTATGGGACATAGTTTGGTTGCACTTGTGTACTCTGTGTATTTTGGACCCAGGTCAATGAAAGTTTTCAGTTATCAGATTAAGGGAAATCACTTTATTATGAGTTGCACCCACATAGAGTACATATTAATTCCATTGTTTGCAGATGTTATACGTATTTTATAATGTATGATGTATGAGTATTTAAAATTATTTATTACCACAACAACATATAAATTCAATGTTTAACATGTGTTAAATAATGCTATCAAATCCAGATGGTTTATTTTGATCCAAAAAACATCATCTGAAGCAGAAATTTTTTTTTCCCTCGATGCAAAAGAAAACATGTATGAGAAACAGGTTTCAAACTGGCACACGTGAATACGAGAACAAAATGTAGTTTTTTGGGCCATATTTCAAAAATATTACTGTTTAAGATATTATGAATTTTAAAGCATTCATGTCAGGATGAAATAATAATAACAACTTGTTTGTTTTAGTTACTTATTGTTGCAACTGATAATGGTGATCCGATTCAACTGTCATCAGAATTAGGTCTACAGATTGTCATAGATGACGCCAATGACAACCCACCAGTGTTTGAAAGAGATGAGGTAAGTACTTGAAACACCGTTGTCATCACTCTATGTCATGTTTAATATAAGTCCCATGTGACATGTACGTTTGTAAAATACATTGTTTGTCTACACATAATTTGACTGTGGTGCTTTAATCGTTGACTGCAAGCAACGCAAATGACTGGTATAGTCTGTTCTGTGATAATCTTGCCATTGCATTACATTTTTATTATCAAATGTCCACTGATTTTTTATTATGAATATAGTTCTTAACTTGTAACTCATTCCAGAGAGATCGTTTAAGGCAAATTTTTTTCTTTCTTTCGTTGTTTATTTCTGCCTTACTTTTTTGACATATGACACATGCGTCTGATGATTTTACCATTACCGAGAATGTGCTTTGGCAGACGTTACACAGTTAATTGGATGTGCTTGTGAACCATTGGCTTACTAAGACATTATACATGAAAACAATTTTAAATGGCGGCCTGCTGTTGAGATCAGAGAACCGACCTGGTTCATATTATGTCTATAGCCTCAAATCAGATAATTGATATATCAGTTGATATATAAACATACTGTAACAATTGCGGTAAAATGTAGTGTTTCAGAAAAGCCAGAGCAATGATATGTTTGCAGAGTGTTATAAATAAATCACAGTTTAAAAGTAATGATGACACAGATATTACATGGATCATGGATAGTGAAAACTTAGCAATTACATTTCAAAAACTACCATGAAATAACTGGTCAGAAAATAGAAATACCCTGACAATTTCTCTCCACTAAGTTTTTCCTAATGGTTTACTACATCCTAAAAAACACTTTCACCCTTCCAGAAGTCCAAAATCTAGTTTAATAATAAAGGTTATATGTAATCAATGTTGTTTTACAGGAAGGGTGTCCTATACCAGATATTATAGAACCAGTAGAACATAATCACTCTATCATAACAGAGCCGATTGGCACCATGGAACCTGCCACTGATGCTGATATTGGCGAAAATGCTGTCAACTATTATTTCATTATTGCTATTAGACCAGGTATAACTTGTTCATCTTTCATATGTCACCTATTATTTTGATTGAATAATATTATTCATTTAAGTTGTGTAATTTAAAAAAACAAACAAATGAAGCGAAGCAAAGCACTGGAAATATGTGCACAGACCTGATTAGTTTTGGGTTGAAATCTATGCATAATAATTGCTTAATTTGCATAATAATCACCCATTTTTTTTTAC